ATGAAAGCAACCCATTTCAAATTAACCTAGGGATGGTGAGTGGTACACGAAAGAAGGAAGAACCATGAGAAACGGCCCAGAACCCGAGAAATGGTACCCCTTCCTTGCCCGTTGATTCGAGCATTGATGCGACTCTCATCGCTGTGCCCTCTTCAACACTACGCTCTCTCAGCTATCTAATCACTCGCCACGTATTGAACTACGGCGAGTGATCAGATGATCGGTGGGCGGAGATCGCCGGACCCGCCAGCTTTGAGGCATGATAGGTCGCCGAGGTCAAATTTTTCCATGCGAATTGCGCGTCAGTTCGCACGACGCCTGACAAGGAGGTCGGTGCGCCGTCCTTCAGACCTCAGGGGTCAGTTTGCCGCTTTCTCTCCACCGTTCTTCTAATCGTTAAATGCTCCTTCTTAAATGGAGTCTCCTGACGTGAAACTGTTTGCCGCTGTGCGCTGGCTCTAGGGATCACAACTGGCGGATTCACGTTACAAGAAAACGCGAAAATTTCGTGAATGATTCCGTTATACGAACGGGAAAGGCCATTCACTCAGAGGATAAACAGGAAACACAAACTTGCTCACACGTTAATGTCACAGAACTCCTCTGGTGCAAGGATTACCATCGAAAATACCTATAATCTACATATTGTATCAGCTTCCAGGCATTAGCCTTCGTTGCCTCACATTTCGACGATAAAGTACGATTTAAATAAGAATTTCCCTCCAGAGCATTTTGGCATCCTGGGCACAAAGATCGAAATCTCTAAAGCAAGCCCCTCGTAATAGTGGACTTATGAGCAACAAACGACTGGTACGACAACATTTCTTGGCCTTAACAACATTTTGGCTCATATTATGGAGATCACATGCGTTCGGTGTGAAATCCAGTACTTTCCGAAAAAAAAAGAATGTTGTAGGGCGCGGGACCACCTTATTGTTAGTTATATCTGCCTGGACTCCTATTTGTGCTTACATGGATTTCTTCAAAATCGTAATAACATGAAGGTGTTGGCACCCATCATGAAGGTTTTAGCTCGTTCGACAATTCGTCAGCTCAACCCAACAGCGTGAGTAAGTCCTTCAGTTAAGGGTGTTTGTTACGATAAAGTGACCACCTGCGACATCAAAGAATAGAAAAAATAACGGGTGCTACAGAAAAGAAAACAAGCCAAAGTAAAAGGCCTAAACTTGCGAACCGGAATCCCTGCCTTCTTCGCTGGACATTCTGTCGGGCGAGTCTCATCGGCGTTGACGTCACCAACACGAGCGCTTTGTCGCACATCTTTCTGCTTGAACGGCAGGGTCGGACGGGAGGCTCCATGGAAAAACTCACCGCGGTGCGGACGCGTTCGCGTGCTGATGACGTCACAACGTCAGGAAGCGGCAAGAGCCAGCTTTGCTAGCAATTACAGGGTGGTCCAAAATTATGAGGACCAAGACATTGTGTCGTTAAAAACGCATAGTAGCTTGATGGAACAAACCAACTTCAGGGAAGTATTTGTAACTCTTACCTCAAAGTAATTCCAGAATAGAATTGAGATCTGCCACTTGCCCCGTTAACACGAGCCTTCGGATGAGGGGGATGGCGCGTGCGGTGGCACGCAACTGAGGCGTGTCCAAATGTTTCCAGGCCTTCTGCTCTGCCTTCTTCAGGGAATCAAACTTTTGTGTTGCATTTATTTGCGCTTGCATCCAGGGTGTGAAATACAGAAATCTAGAGCTATTAGGTGGATGGTTCCATTGTAAAATTCTTCGAAAGCAACGAACTCGAAAAATCGCTTTTTGGAGGATTTTTGCTTTATTCTTGGGTGCTCGGTCCTGTAAGAAGTTCTAAGTAGACTACTCGTGTGGCTTTCTATCCACTACAGATGTGGAGTCTTTAGAGTGTCTGGCTGGGTTTTCACATCAATTTTTTCATTTTGGGTGTACGAAAGTCGACAAGGGGAGACCTAGTTTCTGCATCTGATAATTATCCTGGTGGTAACTGTAACTTTCGAGTCCCCGAATTTTCCATCTGTGGTGGTTCCAAACTTATTGAAGAGTTGAACTGTTGCTCATAAGGGCTTCTCTGATAGGTTAGACTGCTGCTAGATGTAACGTGCCAGAGCCCCTAGTGAGTTCAATTTGAGGACTGACTCAAAGTGAAGTAGTTATTTCACTTGTTTGAGAAATTTGGTTTCATTAGGAAGAAGACATTGTACCCTCTCCATAGTGCACAGAAAACGAGGTGAAAATGGAGCGATACGGAAAAAAGTGGATATGACTGCGCGCGCACGCGATCCTCATAATTTTGGACCACCCTGTATTTACTTTAGTACATTAGGTACTCCGAGCATCTATCGTGCTCTTATGGTTGGTTCACTGTGTAATAAGTGGAAGTAAGTGTGAATCGAACTCGGAGAACACTTAGCTTATTCAAATTCAACTTGACAGTGCAGTCCTAAGGGTTTACACATGAAAGCCTCGACTTTCTCTACGTTTTGGAAAAAAATTTAATTCCTTCTTCTATGTGAGGATAGAAGGATTTCTAATGATTGAGATGATTAGTAATTTAGAGTGATATGGTAAGCGTACGGCCCATGTTCGGCCACACCTAATACAGAATAGTCTATCAGCGGCAAACGCGGTTGTTCAAGAACGGTTGTCTGCCTATTAGTAGGGCATGATAAAGGAAAAGGATAAAGCATTTGCCGTTGATCAATCCCCTTTTGGGATGCGGCACGCATTCTACTTCCATTTGTACATTCGTAGTGGCGTTTGAATGCGATGTGGCCTATACAATGACTTGCGGGGGCCAGCCGATGTACAAGTCAGTGTTTTTATCCTCCCAGACAAGTCTGGTACCAATTAACCGACCCCGGAGGGATGGAAGGCTTGGTTGGCCCGGGCGACTCACGACCCAGGATTTGATCCCCGGACCGCTCGCGTGGTGAAGCGCGCCACTTGTCACTACACCACTTCCGCCCTAATGTATAGAACACAAAACATTCTTCATTTTATTGAACGGTTTTAGCAGTACCAAAAAAGAAGCAAAGGTACTGTTGAGGTTCGATCCCCGTGGCGACTAAATTTTGCATTTGGGTTGGCGCCTACGGTTGGTGCCAAATCGCGCTAAATATCAAAATCAGATGTCAATTCATCGTCAGGACCATTTTGAAGCCAACAAGTGGCCGCCAACCTTGATTGCAAAATTTAGTCGCCGCGGGGATTGAACCATCAAGAGTATTATTCACCACTTTTTTGGTACTACTAAAACCGTTCAGAAAAAACATGGTTTTGTGGTCCATACATGCGTCCCTACATGCAAGCAAACCATTTTGAAAAAGCGGGGCTCGCCCTGAAAGACCCACTTGCGAACCCGCTTGGAGCATAACTTCATGTAAGATGTTTACAAGGGGCTGGTGATCAAGAAGTTGTAGCTTCCTATTTCATTTGACAACAAACCTTCACATCCAGATGAACGATGTCTCTAGCATGTAAGTAACCAAGAGCGCGTAAAATGTCGATTGAAAGACGCCGTAGTAGTCGCTCCAGTTCACCGCTCTCGTCATGCGTATGTACGAATTCGTCCACATAGGCGGAAATCGTCACTCCGGGCATTCTAAAAAGTACCAGAAAGAGAACTTACTTATGTCGCAGCTGACACAGCATTAGCTGTATTTTCGAGATAATTAATTGTATTTCAGTAACAACAAAGCAAATGGTACGGCGTTAGCGGTCCGTGGGATTTTATAAACAAGCGGGTTGTATTCTATGGTTCTAGGAGGTCGTGCTCGGAGAAATGGGGTCGTATTTTTGCGATAGGGGGAGTAGTGGAAGTAGATTCTCAAGATGTCAGGTTTTCTTACGAAATTCAGAGAAGTTCTTGAAAAATTTGCCGTTTATAAGTTGAAATAAGTCTAGGCTTGAACACATGCACTTGAGGGAGACAGGTAGGGCGTATTTCGAAGTGTGTCAAGATGAACCGGATTCAGTTACACTGTGAACACCATCGCACATGTTGGGAGAAGGTCCATGTTGGTGACCCCTCGAGGAGAGAAGGACGGAGTCATCTAATTTTAGGATTTTTCCCAAAACGACGGTTTGCTTTGAAAGCCATGTGCCTTCGTCATGGTACGAAGTTGACCACCCCTTCCCCAGTTTGAACGAGATGATGCTTTCATTCAGTTCCCCTATACGACTTCTACAGGGTTCACATTAGAGCTGTGGAATCAACCCACCTCTTCATGGCAATGCAGTACCGGCCATCGGACTTGAACACTCCTTTCAATCGAGGCATACCCGAATGGTATAATATAGATAGAACAGCTACCTGAAGACAAGAATTGCATGTAGATGGACTTATACTAGAGTACTGTACTGATCGAACTTCTCTTTCGACATCTGCGTTCGAAACTTCGGGTAATAGCATTTTCACCACGATATTTCGTTTAGTTTTCAAGAGCGTGGCCTCATATACAGTCGAAAAGCGTCCTCGACCACAGATTTCGCCCAGTTTGATCGAACTTGACGATTCAGGCACGTTTTCCTGGAGATCATTCATTATCCTATTTTGGTCAAAGAACACTCGAAAGCAGTAGATGACTGGAAGGCGAGCTATTAATGTGAAGTTGCCACTTGTGCAAAGGTTTGGAGAGAAGTGTGGAGGGCGTGGGTTGGACGGACGCCATTCCGCCATTGAAATTTTCAAGTTAGCTTCCGCCTCCCACCCATCGAAGTCACTGCAAATATGGCGCCTATACATATTTTGTTTCTTCACGTATCCTACTTTTACAATACTCTTGGGCTCGTAGGTTTTTAGGCAATAAATCAATCAGAGTGTTTGAAGCAGGATCAACCGTCACTTTCGCACTTCTTCAGAAATTTGGCGACCACCTCCCTCCTTTAGAGAGATCTCGATGCAACCCCGTCATCATCAATCGTAGAAGGCTCCAGAAATACGATCCTTCTTTCCTCTTCTCCAACCACCACCCTCACCATCATGGCTGTTCTATAGTATTTGATTTTGAGACCAGTCGACACAGCCCAACTCCACCCACTCCAGCCATCTGCGGGGGGGGGGGGGGAGGAGGGGAGGGGCAAATTGGCATCATGAAAAGGTGAGCAATTTTGCCTAATCTTCTCTAACTTCGCAAAACTTTCACCGAACTCGTCAAATAAACCATTCCAGACACAAGTCCCTTCAACGACCTACGTCAACCTCGGTTCCCCCTATGATAAGTTGGCTCATTGCTTGCGAGCCCCTTTCCCGAAATCACAAGTGCGACCCTCTCGCTCGAATAATGTGAAAAGATGGTTTCCCTGGTCTGAAGTACGCCATATTTAACTCTTGCAGTTTACACTCTATGCATTCATGTAATGACAATGGCTTGAACGTTGGCGGTCCTAACTAATCTGAATGACAACGCAAAGGCAAACTTGTCAATCATCTAAACGGTTCCGAAAGATAGTCGAATGCGCAACGCGTACTGGTATGAACGTTACATGATTCTAAGTAGTTCACGATCTCCCTTATGGTTTTATGATTTTGAAATTTACAGACCAAATTTTTTCGTATGATTTTCTAACCGTCACGTCTGACGGGTGATTGCCGTCAAGGGTTACATTTACAGTAAAAATCAGCAATGTTATAAACTTGTTACCACTTACAAGAAGGCTGAACTGCTTGCTGAAATCAACTTCCATTTCCTCACTTGGACGACTTCGTAGGCCGAAGTTATAGGAAAACACACGGATACGGTAGGGAACTGGACGGAAATGCCGCAATGAGATTGTGGTTGTGCGTAACGCAGACGCAATGCATCGGAATTGTTCCATATCTGGATGGATTATCACACTAGTTCCACGAAATTGCTCAAGAATGCAATCATTTTACCTTCGCTTTTGTATTCCACGCCATAGTATAACCCGCATTTGACACCAGGATTCCAGGTGAGTAGGAGGGCATTCCGGCCTACACGCCCACATGTGAGCAACGTTGGAGGATCTGAAAGTCGGTTCAAGCTTATGTTCTGGGAGAAGCCTTTTTCACTCTCTACTGGAAGATTTTTAGACAAAAATTTCAATCCGTTAATTTTGGAGGTTCTGTTCATTCTCCATTGCTCGCCACCATTTTCTCCTCCCCAACATTTTTCGAGGGTCGCAATTTAGCTGAGATCATTTCAAATTATGAACCATTCTACACAAGTAATTTCTATTACAATTCTCATGATGCCCTTTCATCCTCAGGCTTGAAAAAAACATCCGTTTTTAAGGGAACTATTTCACAGTGCCAAGTCAATCGGTTATGAAAAACGTCACATAGTGCCATTCGTTGTCTGTAGGTTGACTCGGATTTAAATACAACTAAATTAAATACATAAAATCCAATAAAGTCACGTACGCAGCTTGATTCATTAACAAATTCTCTGAACCATAGCATCCAGCGTCACGCACTTCTGAGGGCACAGTGAACCGTAAGCCTCATTCCTAAAGTCTGCGTGCCCGTATTGTTCGCCGCCTCCTCCGCTCTGGCGCAGTTTCTTTGCAAACTGCAACCAGAACCGATCTGTGATACCTACTAATGTAACTGATTTAAAGGACGAATTTACGATGGAAAAGCAACCCATTCCAAATTGAGGTAGAGATGGTGAGTAGTACCAGAAAGAAAGCGAAACCACGAAAAACGGCCCAGAACCGGAGAAATGGGACCCCTTCCTTGTCCGTTGATTTGAGCATTGATGGGACTCTCATCGCTTTGCCCTCTTCAACCCTACGCTCTCTCAGCTATCTAATCACTCGCCACCTATTGTACTACGGCGAGTGATCAGACGATCGGTGGGCGGAGATCGCCGAACTCGTCAACTTTGAGCCATGCTAGATCTCAGAGGTCAAATCTTTCGATGCCGAT